GGAGCAGCTAGAGACTCTAGACCTAGATAGGAAGAGGAGTTGCGTGCTGACGACTGAGGGGCAGGTTTGCAGGCTATACCTTTTGTTTGGTGATGCATGGAGGGGATTGTAACCATGTCAATGAAATGATATACAATAGGATGAATATAAAGCTAATGTTCTCCCATGTAAACTATCACATAATTCACAATAAAAACTTTGAAAAAAAGAGTTATATAAGAAGCCTTGGTAATGTAGCGGATTACGAGTTGAGCTGTTAACTGCAAGGTCAGCAGTTCTAATCTACCAACCACTCCATGAGTGAAAGAAGAGGCTTTCTGTTCCCTTAAATATTCACAGACTTAGAAATTCTATACAGGGTCAGAACCGAATAGATGGCACACTACCAAGACCACCACCATAAATGCTATGTAATAAAAATTTTTAATTTAATTCAGTAAATGTTTGGTATAATTTTCCAATTAAGCCATCTGCTCTTGGACTTTTCTATGTTTGAAACTTTTTTTATATTGCTTTGATCTCTTCACTTGTTATGCATCTATTGTTGTCTTGTATTTCATAAGTTAATTCTTTATTGTCTGTGAATTTGTTATATGTAAATGTCTTTGGTCCTCTAACATTCTTCAAATGTCTTCAGATGATTGTCTTTAAAATGAATTTCTGTGGAGAAACTCAAAAACCAATGATGAAAATGTTCTAGGAAGAATGGTTTTGCCACATTTGAGAAGTTTTGCCAAAAATGGTATATGACCTTAAGTGTACATACTTACTTGTGATTTTTCCTGAATCAAAATATACAAGAAGCCTTATTAAAGTCCATTAAAAATTGGAATTTAAGGAGAATGTAATTTTTCCACAAACTGTTTCAAGTCCCTTTACAGACATAGGGCTTTAAACCTGTTTTCTTGTTTTCCTTTTAGGGGCCTTTCTTTACTTTCACAAAGGTGTCACTGCAACATGGAACCAAATAATCTAACATGTGTCTCTGAATTCCTACTCCTGGGCCTCTCAGAAGATCCAGAGCTGCAGCCCCTCCTCTTTGGAATGTTCCTGTCCATGTACACAGTCACAGTGCTTGGAAACCTGCTCATCATCCTCACCATCAGTTCTGACCCCCACCTCCACAACCCTATGTATTTCTTCATTTGGTTCCTATCCTTTGCTGACATTGGTTTCATTTCCACCACAATCCCAAAGATGCTTTTGAATATCCACACACACCTCAGAATCATCTCCTATGTCGGCTGCCTGAATCAGTTGTATTTCCTCATGTTTTTTGGATGTATGGACAGTCTACTCCTGACGGTGATGGCCTATGATAGATTTGTGGCCATCTGTCACCCCCTTCATTACCCAGTCATCATTAACTGCTACATTTGTGGCTTACTGATTTTGGTGTCTTTTTTTCTCAGTGTTTTGTATTCCCAACTGCACTACTTGATAATGTCACTACTTACCTTCTGCACAAAAATGGAAATTCCTTATTTTTACTGTGATCTTTCTCAGCTCCTCAATCTTGCCTGTACTGAAACAACCACCAAAAACATACTAGTGTATTGCATTGCTGCCATCTTTGGTGATGTTCCAGTCTCAGGGATCCGTTTCTCTTACACTTGAATTATTTCCTCAATTCTAAGAATCCCATCATCAGGAGGGAGGTATAAAGCCTTTTCCACCTGTGGCTCTCACTTGTCAGTCGTTTCCTTATTTTATGGAACAGGTATTGGAGTGTACCTGAGTTCAGCTGTCTCACCTTCACTTAAGAGTGGTGCAGCAGCCTCAGTGATGTACTCCGTGGTCACCCCCATGCTGAATCCCTTCATCGACAGCCTGAGAAACAAGGATATCAAGAGGGCCCTGCAGAAACTCTTCAGCAAGTCAGCATAATACCAATATCTGTGCTATCTTTATTATTTTTTATGACCTGTATATTAGAACAGGCAGAAAACCAAACATATGGAGGTGGAAAGCATGTTCCTCTTATCACACAATTTTGTTGCTCTCATTCCCTTCAGCATTTCACTTCAGAATATTGCTTATGTGGCCCATTTTGTGGGGGATATCTGGGATTTGTAGTACATCATAATACATGCCCAATTAGACCTTTGTCACTATTTGTTCTAATACATAGGAAACCTTCTGTATTTGCCATCAATGATACAGGCATCCTTGATAAAAATAGAAAATACAATCTACCAACCTTTTCACAGTTCATGCCTATTGACTATACAAGATCTATGTTTATCTTTTTCCTAATGCAGTTTAGGTGTTTTAATACTTGTTTTTAGTTTTCAAACTGGGCTGCATATTTGAATCATCAAGTAAACTTTAAAGATATTTATGCCGAGTTGTATGAACAGAGATTCTGATTTATTTAGACTAAGTATTGTGATGAGCCTGAAAACTTCTCAAACACCCCTGGAGATACTAGTGAGCAGCCAAGGTAGTAACTTATCAATTTGGTGAGACCACACAATTGACTAATATGCACTGGGTCTTTTATTTTTTATGAGCAGATGCTGAAGATCTTAAAGCAATCAGTGCTCACAAGGGGAAAAATAAAGAATTTCAGGAAAAGTGATTTTTCTTAAGATTGCTGATGATTTTTCTTTGAACAACTCCTTCCTCCATACCCAAAACTGGTCACATATCCTTGATATTAAACTCTTGTCGCTCTACTCCCAAGTAAACTTTCCTGGCTTTAAACAACATGTTATCCCATTATGATGTTCAAACCACTACCTCTTGATCTAGGTATGGATTCACAGGCTGCTTGCCATCTGGAATTGCCAGTGGACTGCCTACAGCAATTGCTTTACATGGTAAGCAGCACAGCCCACCAACAGCACTAACTGATTGATCATGATGTTATGCTTGAGCTTGTCCATGTTCTCAGATAAGGTGCCACTCTGCACGCCCCTCCACATCTAGTGTCCAGCATTAACAAGCTGGCTACAGCTAATACCGGCTGTCTGCATCTTTTTGCTATTGTGAATACTGCTACTATGAACATTAGTGTGCATATATCTACTCGTGTTGTGGCTCATATTTCTTGTGGGTAAGTACCAAGTAGAAGAATTGCTGGATCATAAGGTATTTCTATTTCCCACCTTCTGAGGAAGCTCCACACTCTTTTCCAGATTGTTTGGACCATTTTGCAATCCCACCAGCAAATTAAGAGGGTCGCAATCTCTCCACATCCTCGCCAGCATTTATTGTCCTCTATTTTTTTTATCTTCACTGTTATTGCTGGTGTGAGATGATATCTCATTGCTGTTTTGATTTCCATCTCTAATGGCTTCAAACTGAAGCTGAAGAAAATGAAAACAAGTCCACGGGAGCCAAAATATGACCTTGAATATATCCTACCTGAATTTAGAGATTCTCTAAAGAACAGATTTGATACATTAAACACTAAAGACCAAAGACCAGAAGAGTTGTGGGATGAACATTATATATTAAGAAAACAAAAAGTCATTAAAAAGACAAGAAAGAAGGAAAGTTCAAAATGGATGTCAGAAGAGACTCTGAAACTTGCTCTCCAGTTTAGAGATGCTAAAGCAAATGAAAGAAATGAACAGAAATTTTCAAAAATCAGCTTAAGAAGATAAAGATAAATATTACAACAAAATGTGCAAAGTTCAAAATGTGCTGAAAAGGACATCATCAAATATGAGCAAATTAGTTGTGAAGCTGAAATAGCTAGAAACATGATGAGAGACCATGAGAGAGTAATCAAGAAAGAGAATGCTGCATAGGACAAGCATAACATAGTAAAAGAAAAATACTATGACGACTTAGAGAAATAACCGAACAGAGAAAAAAAGCAAGAAACTTATGAGCAGCGACTGAAAAAGAAACTCATGATTGATGATATTATGAGGAAAATCCATGAAGAGGATCAATTGCAAAAACAACAAAAGTTGGAAAAAACAAAAACAACTCAAAAGTATGTAGAAGAGTTTCAGAAAGAGCAAGCTCTCCAGGGACAAAAGAATTGGGAGATGATGGAAAAAGAAAACAAAAACATTACAGAGTTTGGCAATATACAAAAGCAAAGAGAAGAAACGTGACTGGCCAAAGTTCAAGAATATGAGGGAAAAAAAGACTACAGCTTCAGGATGCATTGATTCAGAAATTTAAAGAAATATTGCAAAACAATGTAAAGATTTGGAACACGTGCAACAAGAATTATACCAGGAAGAACAAGCTGAACTAGATAAGAGAAAACTAATAAAAGAACAAGAGATGAAATTGAGAAAGCAAAAGGAAATTAAGGGAATAAACAAGATGGCGGGTTGGGTGGAAGTACAGTAAGGAGCTCCATCAGCAACAACACAGAATACAGGACCAAGCAGGCTCATGGAATGGTCCCAGAATTGTGAACCACATATGAAGGAATATTTAGAAGGCTGGAAGACTTACAGCTAGGGGAATTTGTAGCAGAAGCAAGAAATCCATTGCTTTCTAATTCAAGATACTCAGCTGCTCCAGGAGCCACCATATTGGGTGAGACCAAGCAGGTAAGGATCAGAGCAGCCACAGACACCTGACAGAACCTTGGAGATAAAGGTGTGGACATTCTTTTCTTTTGGTATCTGTTCATTATTCCCTTGCTGTCTGCGCACCTCCATTCTGGTAACTATAGGGGTGCCTGAATGAGCGGACACCTCAGCCCCACCCTCGGATGGTTCTACTATGCATGCGCACAGATCTCCTAGAAATTTAAAGAGACAGTTTCCACTATAAACCAAATGGCCACAGCAGGCTTGAACTGTTTATAACTAGAAAAAAGGCCTGAATGGGGACTGTGGAATGGGACAAGCAGACAAAAAAGGAAACAGGCTGAAAATTAAATCCTAAGTTACGTCAAAATGACCAACAGTAGCATCTTGAAGTTTCTCATGAAGAAGAATGAATAGGGAAGCCCATTTCCTGATCACATCTACCTGAAGGCAATCAGAAAGCATTAAAAAATACCAAAATATTCACCCATCAACATGTTAAGGCCACAGATAACTCCTGAATATGCCCCCAAAATAGAAGCAGATGATGATATCTGCAAATGTCCAGAAACGAGGTAAAGTGACTGAGGCAAATGAGCTGGAAGTAGACCGATACTCCATACTGGAAGATGGGCAGTCTTTGGAAATGCCAGAGAAGGAATTCAGAAAAATGATTATAAAATGTATCAAAACACTATATAATGGAGTTGAGAAAAATAAGGAAGAAGTCAGGAAAGTGCTACAGGAACAATCAAATAAAATAGATACAGCACTGGAAATAATTCAAAACCTACAGAAAGAGGTCCAAATAATTAATAATAGAATATCAGAAATGGGCAATACACTGAAAGGGCAAAGGAGTAGAACTGAAGAGATAGAAGCAAGAACTAATAAGCCAAAAAATAAATCTCTCAACACTACTAAGATAAGAGAGCAAACACAAAAAAGGATAAAAAAATCTGAAGAAGGCCTAAGATTCATGTTGGACAACATGAGAGGAATAACTTAAGAATTATTGGCATTCTGGAACAGGAACAATCACACAAGTCCATAGAGGAGAAGTTGAAGAGCTTCTGGAAGAAAATTTTCCTAACATCTGAAAAGTGAAAAAATAAGCAATCAAGAAGCTCAGAGAACCCAGGATGGAAGGACCCAAAAAGACAATCACTAAGACATATAATAATTAAGTTCTCCAAAATCAAAGATAAGGACAGATTCTTGAAAGCAGTTAGGGAAAAGACAAATGTAACATACAAAGGCAAGCAAATCAGATTAAACTCAGATTTCTCAACAGAAACTATGCAGGCAAGAAGGCAATGGGGAGACATATATAAAACCCTGAAAGAAAAAAACTACCACCCAAGAATCCTCCACCCAGCAAAGCTGTCAATCAAATGTGATGGTGTAATCAAAACGTTCCAGAATAAACAGAAACTAAAGGATTTTGCCAAAGCCAATCCTGCTATGAAAAAACATCCTAATGGAAGTTCTGTGGACTGAAAACCAACAAGAACAGACAACAACTACAGAATGACTTACGTGGCAGCATCACCCTGAACTCAATCGACAGATGGAAGAGTCAAGAACAGAATAAAATTATAAGGACAGAGGATCTGGGAGGTCAGTCTATTATCAAAACAATTACAATGTGAAAGAAGGTAAACTCAGAGGAACAGAGATCCAGGTGGTGGGAAGGTTAAGTAGATTACAGGATAAAATAGACTGTCTTAAATGGAGGGTAGAACTAATGGAATATAAGGTAACCACAATGGGGTTGGTGTGGGGGGTTTACTTTGAGTGTTGGGGAGGGCAATACAAGAAGGGGGGAGGAGGCAGAAAACAAAATAAATAGGGGAACACTGAGACAGGTTTGCATGGCCTAGTGGGACAGAGGCAAATAGTGATGCATACTCAACCTTGGAACAATAGGGCTCTGGGATACAGGGATCTAGGTATAGCTTGAAGAGGGTTAATAATACTAAAATCCTTGATTGTCTTATTAATATTAATTTCCCTTGTCTACTATTGTAAAATAGACACTTGATTGGGATAGAAAAGAAAGTTAGGAAATATGATTAGAAAAAACGTGTAGCCTGTCTTCAGCCTATAACTGACTGGAATACCTAAAAGGGGTTCTACAACTTGCCCAGTGAAATAGGCCTCATGCAAAGCCTTTACAGAGCATAGGACCTTAGGTGGAATCCTGAGTCCCATCAAGAACCTTATGAAGTAGGACATTCCCACTAGAAAGGAGAAGCAGACTGGAAAAGCTACAGTGACAGAAGATACATATTCAAAGAAAGATCATCAGGAAAAAAAAAAAAAAAAAATGTCAATATGACTGGCTACTGCAAGAATAAGCAATCTGTTCGCCAGGAAGACATCAAGGCTAGCAATTAAGTGCCTTCAGGACAAACTCACCTCTAACACTGAAACTCAAAGGGAATACACAAACAAGCATGTAAGCTTGCTGGCGACCACATTGGTCTACTGGTGAGCGGAAGAGACGGAAAGGCATCAATGAAGAAATGGGCTGAGTTCAACCTCAGTCCATTGAATCCCGTTGACCTGGAGATGAGAGAGAGAAGAGGAAGGGCTGGTTGGTCCAAAGTGTGGTGAGACATGAGGACACTTGAGCCCATGGACAAGGACTTAGCCACAGAGGGCTAGACTGAAAGTGAAGCATTCCACTGATATGAAGTGAGGAGATATGCACAAGAACACCCAAACTTGCAGACAGTACCCGTTTGACCTAGCCTTGATGGCTCGATAATCAGAACTCAACTAGAGGAAGATTGGGGGGGGAAATTGTTGTTGTTTTTGTGGATAAAGGAAACAAGGGTAATCTGCTTCAATTTAATGAACCTGACCTATACTCAGAGAGGTAGTTATACTAAATACCAACAGAGATGGAAAGAAGTCTTCACATCAAGTATCAATGCTATCCGCTCTGTGCACAGGGTAGATAGGGACGGACAACTTATACACTGGCTACCTAAAATGAGGGGGCAATAAAGGTACAAAATGACTGGCTTACAAGATTTCAAGAGGGAGTTTAGTTTAAGAGTATGGGGGGAAAGAAAGAGTCCCCACTGAATAGCTGTCATCTTGTCTAGATGGGTCTGGTGAAAAGAGATGAGGATAAGAGTCATAAGATTCAATAGTGA